CTGTACAAAGGTATTTAGCGATTCTGAAGCTAAAATGCTGGAATGCCAGCGTTGTGTTCAGCACTTCTTTATATATTGCCTGAATAAGTCAAACGTGGAATACAAGTTTCTCTAGAGCACTGACTCTATGTGGTTCTGTGGTATTTTTAGGGAACAGGTAGAAAAGAATATCTTCACTGAACCCAAAATTGAAGAAAGATGCCAGTCAGTTGTGCAGGCATATGAACAAGGGATCATTTCTTTAAAGTAGAAAATCGAACTTAAAGTTGATGAGGTAAAAGTGCAGGAGTACGCAAGGAGCTGAACCAGGTAACAAACAAAGAACAACTTCAAGATAATGAAGAGATAACTGCAGCAAAGGAAAATAAATATGGAATGTGTACTGTCAAATATAAATAAGAGGAAGGTCAGAGAAAATAATATTGTGATTTATAGTATACAAGAGGTCCAGTCAAATAAAACAGATGAGAGGAAAACGAAGGATGAAGAGTTAACTAAGGACATTTTGAAAACATGCAGGATCACTAATCCTTAAAGTGGTTAGATTAGGCAAATTTGAGAAAACCCAAGGGAATACCAATGAAACTGAACAAAGTAGGAAAAGAGGAGGGAGGCCAGTTCTTGTATCACTCAGCAACAATGAGCTGAAAAATGAACTGTTCACATACGGTAGAAGAGAACAAGTAAATGAGGATTGCAAACGACATGAGGGAAGGAAGGGAAAGGTGGCAAAAAACCTCTTTCTAAGGGGAAGTCGCTTCTTTCGTCTGTACCACTTCCAACTGTTGTGGGTCTGCCAGACCTTGGTCTGGTTTCCGCAGGGCCGGTGTCCGGTGGGAGGGTTTAGACGTCCCGTTACCGGCAGGCGGTCTGGCCTCTTTTCTCACACAGTCGAAGGAAATTACTCAAGACAGTTGGGCCTTTTCATATAAAATTCATATAAAATGGGTAAATTACAAACCAATTATGTATTATCATTATATATGTGTGTGTGTGTGTGTGTGTGTGACATTTTGATTTGTTTATACTCAAATGATACACAAAGTTGTTGGTAGACCCATATCTGAATTGTACATATTTATACAAAACAGTGTTCTGCTTTTATTTTTATTGTCAATACTGTTGCCAATAATTCAGTGACGATATCAAAGTGCGTTTCTAATTTATTAATACAGATACTTGTTTACATAAACATAATTTATACTCAGTGCTATTTACTATGTCCATATATATATCATATTGACAATTAGTGATATTTGAGATCAGTAAAAGATAAAATATGGCATCGAAAAGGTTGGTATTATTAAGATATTGATGCCAAAACACAGAAAGTGTTAAAATGATTACTATATATGTAAATACATATTCTTTGCTTTTCTTCATAGAATCATTGTGTTTCATAATATCAATGCTTTGTTCTGAAAAAGCCAATGTTTCAATATAGCCAAACAGCATCATCTCTTCTTATTTTGTTTGATAAAATTTGCATACACCACATGCATGAAATATCACCTGTAAATAATATGTGTATAGTTCAATGCTAGAAACTTGCAATATTGACAATATTTTCATTTAACCACTCAAGAAAACTATTATCATTCATGTTGAATGCAATAAAAATTCAGAGATCTTTTTTTTAAAATTTTGATCATTCAAATCACTAACTAACTGACTGAGCAGATATTAAAGATAATAATCAGGTGGAAATTGAACAATAATGCATTGAGGACATTATAGTAATTCATGTAAATCTTGGTTCTGAAAATGAAGTTTCAATAGTGTAAAATTTAGTAAAAGATAATTGTGTTTGGTATATATATGTACATCCTCAATAGAAGACATAAAAAATAAGTTTAACAAATCCGGCTTTCCTGTATCCGGTTCTAATTTTTGTCACCGCCTTCAGAATTATGATGAAGAGATGAAGCCCACAAGACAGTTCTTCATCTCTTTAAAGTCAATAATTTGTATAACAAATAAATTTGTAATATTCAAAAGTACAGAAGAGTGTCCTTTTTTGTTTTGGAATATTGTATAGCAGTCATTTTCAGCAATAAACTGTACTTTTCGGGTCCGTTTTCGGTTGCAGCGAAGAAATTCAGAAGGCGATGATATGACTTTCAGACTGTTGATTTATAAGTCGAAAATCATAAGAAATAGATTAAACTTCATTTGTATATTTCAAACAGGGTTATTAAATACATATAGATAGTATCCTCCGAAAATTCGTTATCAATCTGCCCAGTTTTCCCATTAATGATGTTCTTTTCGTCGACTGACGCATCGGCGCTATCTGCGTATGACGTGACCGAGTGAAAACACGATTTTGCATGTTAAGGAATCAATGTTCACCTTTGATATATGTTGGATGTATTATTTATGTGCTAAATCAGTGATGTAATGGTCCTTTTCGCGGAGAAAATCTCCCATATCTAACTCCTTTTCGTGGTTTACCCCTACCCGAAAAAATGTCGTAATCAAACGATATATCGACAGTACCGCCAGGATAACCAACGAGAGCTACTAAATCAGTGTGATGGAGTCAACTTTATTTGTTTTTAGCATTGTAAATAATCACAGACCTCAAGAGAGGGTGAAAAACTGGAAAATACAGAATTAAACAATTTGTTAAAACTTTAGGAGTAAATATAGAATGTGCGGCTTGAAATTAAACATTTTATACTAATCACACTAATCTCATCTTTTAACTTTGAGTGGTTTGTATATAAATGTACTATGTAATCCGGTTACCGTAATCGGGGGCAAATAAATTTAGCATCTATGTCAACCTAATCTAAATTGTTAAACTAAATCCACTATTTTAGAATTACACTTTGTTAAAAGAAACGACATTATGATTAAATATTCAAAAGCATGTTATAAAAAAATAAACGAGCAGTGTACGACGGACATACCGAACGGATTTAACCTGAATATCTATTTTTAAATCTAGGCATTAATTATTACATTGCAGTGTATTACTGATAAACTGAATTTAGCTGGAACCAAATATTTGAATATAAGCTGATATTAGATGGGAATGATATAATATACTTACACGATAGTTACCATAAGATGTTTTGAGTGTCAAGAAGCATGCACGGTGCAACTATATAACAAAAAAGTGATAAAAAAGGAGATAACTCTGAGTACAAACTGAAAAGGAAGGTAGCAAGACAGCACAATCAGACTTAAAACCAAAATTGTGGCGATATGGGTCCTGTGACCAATATTGATCCATTCGCCGAACAAAGTTTTGGCCCCATAACAACACATGAGCGCCTGAGTAGTGCGTCATTTTCTCTCGAACTTATAAAAGGATGTTACGTATAGGCTTACGATACCGCTTACCTTAACCTTGTCTGTCAAAACAAATGCACGTGGTTCCTTAGGCGGGCGAACGACACACACAATCGGGCGATCAAAAACACTAACGCAGTTGGTACGGAATGTTTCTAGTTCAGTGAGACGCCATTACTCCTGTAGCAAGTGTAATAAACGGGCTTACAAAGCCACCAACGGCTCCAGATCCAGCAGCAGAAAAATTGTCCAAAAGTATTGTAAAATAAATACAGTTTAATAATAAAGTTACGTTGCAAATAAGAAGAAAACTGCTAGAGAAAATTTTTAAAAAATCAATATGGCGTCGAGGTGTTTGAAAAATGCTGCTGAAGTGGGGTTTTCAATAGCCCCCAAGGGCAAACTGACCCCAGGTCAGACAAACGGGGATCACCGAAGCCCTATAGGGGCCAATTATACTGATCAATAAGTGATCACCTGACTTAATTACCATACATACGTTTACATATAAACTGAAACATCATGTACATAATTGCTGCTATCTAGAAATGGAAAATTCACAATAGGAAATTTGAAATCATCACGTTTACGATACCGATTGATGGAAAGCTTTGCATGATTGTTTCATTGGAGATCGAGTTAAGCGGCAGTGTCTGCCCTATCCCCGCCTCCAATTCTGGCGGGTATATACGACGGACGTGGTGTATAGATTTCTTGTATTTGAATCAAAAGATAAATTCGGTCATTTTTATGACTTCGCCTCTTTATGTTCAGTATAATCCCACAACTACATATTTGTTTCGCCGTTCAAATCTCTCTTTAAAAAAGTGGAATATGATAGTATACATAGTTGGAAAAGAAAAGTGCTCCTACGTGATAATTTTTTATCAAGATTGGTATAAATCAACATACCATTAATTGCACCTCTCGAGTAAAACTGTAGATCTGATTTAATGCTAAGAATATGAATGATAAGTTTTTACAAATGTTTGGTTGAACAACTAGACAATCCAGTCATTAATTGCTTCTTATATTGATTCGTGTGACGTTACGAAATCCAGTACAAACGCATCATACGTGTACCGGAATAATCTGTTATTATTTTCCTTCTAGACCATTTCTATACCGTAAAAAGTTTCACGAACGGACCTTCACTTTCCATTAGACTTTGAAGAAACGAAGGTTGAACATTGCTTCAAATTTAATGTACTCATTGTATTTTTGGTCATGCGCAAATAGTAATTAATTTCAGCAATGCTAACACTGCATGATACAAATAATCAATAAACGCAGGAAAAGCGACATTTTGAGTTAAGGTTGTTATCTTTTAGAAACATGTCTGTATTGTCTGTTTCCGGCAAACATAAATACAATTTATTCGGATCAGCTAAGTAAACTTAACACACACCATATAGTCGTTTTATCCTATGTAGACTTATCCCCCCGAAACTTCTGAAATTGGTATAAGCACATCAGAATAGGTTCCAATACACTTGTAAATAGTTTTATTGTCCCCGTGTTTCAGCTATGCAGTGTGTACCAAAATAAGTAACGACAACAAACATACGATTAAGATATATGGAAAAGTGAAGAGGTGTCCACTTGACATCAACATATTTCCGGTCCAGTTCAAATAACAGAACACTATTCAATGGATACACGCCAGTCACACGACAAAATCTCATAACTTGATCCGTATTTACATCGTCAGCTTAGGGAAACACACACAAGTAGGTCTTCGCCTGTCTCAGATGCAAAGAGAAACATGCAGAAGGCGATGTTGTTCTGTTTTGTGGTACAAGGTATGGAATTTGTTACTTTGATTCTTTGTTTGTATATATATCATTAATTTTAATATGTGATTTCATTAAATATACCTTGTTGTTGTCGCCGTTTCTTTTATGTATATAAAAGACATCTATACATTGTGACATGGACGTCTTAGTACGTATTAGAACGGGTTCCATATGTGCAACAACTCTTTCTATAGAACTGATTATAAAGATGTCGATAGATCCTGAGTTTTGTCGGCTCATGCCCTTTAGATTATTGGCGTTGAGCTCTGGTATTTTGCGATTTTGTTGTGATTCTATATCCAGTATAAAACAGAGATCGCATTAATATTTGATATTCGTGTTACATGTATTTAGTATATTTGGAACTTCGGGGACCAATTGAATACAACTGATGTTAAATTAGATAAAATCAGTATCGTAATTTTTTTCGTTTATCGTTTTCTTAAAAACAGTTTTTTTCCTAACAAAGTGGACTAAGGACCAGCTAACATTTAGTTACCTTCTGTCTATCTACCCATCTCTTAACTTTTGAGTCATTTGTATAATCATCGAGAGTACTGATGTTAGGCATTGCTGGTCGCCCTTTATTATGTGTAGTTTTCTCAAACGTGCACGCCACGTTTCATTCCATACACATGAAGTTGACGTTCTTCTGATATTTTCATATCTATGAAATGTATTGAATTACGAGGCTAATGCACCTCCCGATCTAGAATTTATGTTACATGAAACATATATCATATCTCTTGCAATGCGTATTGGTTTCAAAATGTATACCTGCCATTTCGTCATTTCAGTGACTATACTGTCAATCGAAGGAAACCCACATTGTAAGTATGAAAAAACGCACTCAACGAAACAAAAAAAAATTAATAAATGATAATAATAATAAAAAAATGGTTGTAAAAATGAAGAAAGATTTGGTTATGACAAATTCCCATATTGAAATTAGAAAATTGTCGTAGATTTTCTTTTTACATAAAATGGGGCGATATATTTTATCACATGTTCTAATATTTCGTTTTACAGCTGTCTGTCCCGGTGGTAGAAGACCAGTACACTGTTTTATTAACCCATGTGATCTACCACAACTGAAGTCTTGTAATAACAACCCCACATTGGAATGTCGGTACGTTATCATCAATAAACGCAATAGGTTACACTGATTTATATTAATGATATAAAAATACTGAATAAAATTTTGAATGTACCGATTATCCAACTTGTATCCGAGTTTCGCAAAAGTATGCTTAAATGATACGCGTTATCCGAAAATTAGCATAAAATTAATGATTGGAAAAAAATAAAACAAAAATATGATTGTTCCAAATACGTTATCAAGACGTCCTAATTTTGGACGTCATTGTAATTCAACCATACGTTCTTTTAGTGTGCGATGTAATTTGTTGCATATGTAAGAATAATGTCACGAACAAATAAGGAATCAAAAATGATTTCCTTCGTCACACTTGTATGGAATTTTGTGACAATATGTGTAAAATTTCAGGTCACTTCTAACTTTGTTATATTCATATTTCAACAGTGCCAACTACTGCAAAGGTTGTGAACATGTAGAGTTCTATGACGTCACTGGTGTTAAGGTCAATTGCAATGAAGGCTATATTGCCCAAAATGACGAGCAACAAATCGAAGATGTCGGTGAACCGCCAAATTCAAATGATTGGCCCTTCATGGATCTGTACTTAAGTATCCGGTCTTTATTTACGCCTTAAAATTGATTTAAAGGACCATGTTGAGAGACATTTTCAACTGTATGCAACATTCGGACAAAATGAATTAATATGAAAATTAGAAACTGTAATCAGGAATGTTGTTCAACCTTGTCGGTAACAGGAAGACGCAACTCAGTGACATAAAATCCAATAGATAAGCTGACGTCACTGTATTTTCAAATATGTATAAGAACGTTAAACACGACAATACTGCCGCTGATATCGATATTGTATGCATTGCCTCGAAATTAAATGTTAAACAGCTTCCTCAACCAAAAAAAGAAAAACTAAATAAAAATACAATAAATCAATGTATTAAGGTATTATGATTTCTTTACTTTCCTCGAGACGAGAAAGTCCCTATCAATTAAACAATTATATAGGGGTCTCGACTTCGTCTTGTATAATCTGATGAAAAAGCACAATTCTGGGACTAATTTCTTGATATTTGAACATTGGTGAATAGCAGTCAATCAATTGATTACAGCACCATTTACTGAAACCCCATTCGTCATGAATAATGCAATCAATGTGACCTGTGGTGTCTTCGATGTGACTACAGTTCGGGTTACGTTATATTTTTACCGAGTTGTTTCTTGGTGACAGAACAGCTGCCTCCCTAACACCACTGAAAGAAGGACTTCACCCAACAAACCTTTCAATCAAACAGGACAGAATCTAGCAACAATATCCTTAATCACCCACTATATCTCTTAAATAAGGCTCTTAACATCACTGACAAGGAATAGAAGAACGAAACAAGTATATGATCCCCCTCCCATATTCATTTGTACATTTCTTTTACTGAAAGACATTGCGAATTGAATTTCCAGAAATATTAGCTATCACCAGGGCATTTCTTAATATCATAATTACATTACATGTAATTTCTTACATGCTCGCCCACATACACAAATAGGTTTACACACATATATATATATAATTATCTAAATTCATCTCTATATATAAATTTATATATATACACATATCTAGGATACAGAAATGCATACTTGTGCAGACAGTAGCACTAAGACTGGCGTGGAGCTGATTTAAAATGTCACTGTGATTTCGTGTCCATAGTGTCCTGTCATGATAAGGAAAACAGTGTATATTGAGAGATATGGACAGTAAGAAGTTGCTTAAATTTCTTAGTTTACAACCTTCCTTTTATAATGTAGGACATCAAGAAAATACCAACATGGCAATAACTTAAACCGAAGATAAAATATACGTTTATATACCCTTTAAAACGTACAGGCAGTAAAAGACCAGGCGTCGTAGGAAGGTTAGCGCCGTCTTTTTAATAAATTTGAAATGTGAACAAAGTCAATATAGAGACTCGTGAAGAAGTGCCGGTAGAATTGGTGCTTCGAAAAGACAAATGTCTTTTGCTTCATACCAGCAACGCAAATTGCACAAAAGACACACAAGTGAATTCATTCAATTTCATAAGGAAGTAGACAATATAAAACTGATAGGTAAATGAACTAAAGGACTTGGACAGGACTTTCTTACCATTGCTTTTTAATTAGAGACTATATATTTTTGTCTCACGTATGTCATTCAAACTGCAAGAGATTTCAAGACAAGCAGCGTCAACGTTTGTACGTGAAAACATGAGGGGTTCTATGATATTCTGCTGTTTCCTGCTAGGTAGGTTCTGCTTCATTAAGTTTGTAAAATATTTTGACGTAAGATTATCATTATTTGATGATTCAGTTATCCACTTATTATCCTCTTTTTCACTGCTGCAAATTTTGATAATAAGAGATAAAACACATCAGATGTCACAGGCGCTCAAATGTATAATCAAGTGAAAATTTGCAATGAAACAACATTGGATCGAATCTTTACTTTTAAATATGGTAAAATTGTAACTGTATTAAAACACTTTCTCTCCAGCTGTGTAATTCATATACATGTAACTGCTAAGCACTATACCACAACGATGTAGAGTGACATATTATGCTCCGGGAAATTTTGAAATTCCCTATATAAATACTGTGTACAATCTTCTGTTAGATGATTTTATACTAATGTTAATTTGAATTCAAGGTAATTGCTGTCTTTCTGTCTTTCCAGTGAGACCCAAGCTGAAGTTGTTTTTCCAGAAATTCTAGTCTAGTGATTGTTACAATTTTGTTAGTCCAAGACATTTCTATACGTGCAAATGATAGTTAGCAGCGAGGAAATTCAAGAACCAATGCATTACTCTACAATGAATGAATGCTGTAACGAGAGGAGATGCTAGCATAATTCTTCAGTGAATAGATGCTGTAATGATGTAACGAGAGAAGACGCCAGCATTATTCTACAATGAATTGATGCTGTAACGATGCTATGAGAGGAGATGGCAGCATTATTCCACAATGAATAGATGCTATAATGATGTAACAAGAGGATATGCCAGCAATATTCTACAGTGAACAGATGCTGTAACGATGTAACAAGAGGATATGCCAGCATTATTCTACAATGAATAGATGCTATAATAATGTAACAGGAGGATATGCCAGCAATATTCTACAATGAATAGATGCTATAATAATGTAACAAGAGGATATGCCAGCATTATTCTTCAGTGAATAGATGCTTTAACGATGTAACGAGGGCATATGCTAATAATATTCTACAATGAATAGATGTTGTAATGATGTAACGAGAGGAGATGCCAGCATTATTCTACAGTGAATAGATGCTGTAATGATGTAACGAGAGGAAATGCCAGCATTATTTTACCGAGAATAGATGCTGTAACGATGTAACGAGAGGTGATGCCAGCATTATTCTACAGTGAATAGATGCTGTAATGATGTAACGAGAGGAAATGCCAGCATTATTTTACAGAGAATAGATGCTGTAATGATGTAACGAGAGGTGATGCCAGCATTATTCTACAGAGAATAGATGCTGTAACGATGTAACGAGAGAATATGCCAGCAGTATTCTACAGTAAATAGATGCATTAACGATGCAACGAGAGGAGATGCCAGCATTATTCTACAGTGAAAAGATACTGTAACGATGTACCGAGAGGCGATGCCAGCATTATTCTACAGTGAATAGATATTGTAACGATGTAACGAGAAGATATGCGAGCATTATTTTACAGTGAATAGATATTGTAACGATGTAACGAGAGGAGATGCCAGCATAAATCTACAGTGAATTGATGCTGTAGCGATGTAACGAGAGGCGATTCCAGCATTATGCTACAGTGAATAGATGCTGTAACGATGCTATGAGAGGAGATGCCAGTGTTATTCTACAGTGAAAAGATACTGTAACGATGTAACGAGAGGCGATGCCAGCATTACTCTACAGTGAAAAGATGCTGTAACGATGTAACGAGAAGATATGCGAGCATTATGCTACAGTGAATAGATGCTGTAACGATGCTATGAGAGGAGATGTCAGCATTATTCTATAGTGAATAGATGCTGTAACGATGCTATGAGAGGAGATGCCAGTGTTATTCTACAGTGAAAAGATGCTGTAACAATGTAACGAGAAGATATGCGAGCATTATGCTACAGTGAATAGATGCTGTAACGATGCTATGAGAGGAGATGTCAGCATTATTCTATAGTGAATAGATGCTGTAACGATGTAACGAGAGGATATGCCTTCATGTTTCCACAGTAAATAGATGATGCAATGATGCACCTTTAGATATATACAAAGATATGGATGCACTATATATCAAATAAGTATTGATTTGGCATTCTTGGACTCATCTAACAGTAAGATATTCACTTGGACATAAGTAAGGGATCGTTAACATTAGCATAAAAAGTAACCAAGACTCTTTTTTTCCTTTTTTTGTAAAAATAAACTTTGTTGCACTCCTTGCATTGTCTTCGTTTGTGCTTGTTGTCATAACCAAGCGATGCGATATAGAGATGCTACCTGTAATTTCACACCTGACATGAACCCAGTGTTGTACTAACTCGGACAAAAAGTCAATGCACACGGGATTCACAATTGCAAACGGTTGACAGAGATTTCCCCCAGAACAAGCTTCATCGTCTTGCTAAAGGTATGAAACGAAAAAAAAGGAAAACACATAGCATGGTTGGCGTTTTATTACTGGTACGTTGAAGTAATAAGTTTTAGAGATTTGATAACAGTTAAAGTCAAACCAGTTCCTATACTTTGGGAATGACTTTCCGAGCACGTCTTTTCACCTTCTTCGTAACGCCTGTTTTGAAAACCATTGTTCGCCTCGTATGACTTCCACGAAAATGACATTGGTTTACCTCAGGATTGCGATAGAACCGCGAAAATGTGAACCATAGAAAAACAAATTTTAATTATTGACGTGTTCATTGGATGTCTAAACTGAAGCTATCTTTCTTAGAACTATCAATGTTAACTTGTTATTTACTAGGAATTTCATGTTTGGATTTTACTGTATGTCTGTTTTGTTTTGTTTCTTTTCTTATTATTATTATTTTTTTTTTTTTTGTTAGCGATCGATAGTGGAAACTCATCATGCCCTTGTTATCCCTTCAAAAAGAAAATTCTCTCGAGGTTGAGGGCAATGAGTCCCGAGGGAATCTACAGTGTCGACCGTTTAGAAGTGATGGAAGCTTTTAATGAAAAAATAAGTGGAAACACTTACTTTGCAACATCGTATAGCTTCGACACTATTTCTTCGATGTATGATTTACAGCTATCACGCTATTGGTATTTTTTTCTTGTACTTTCTTGATATTGCTTGAATTCCGACCCTTGCAGAGGTCCTTAAACCGCGCTATATTCAAAAGAGTTCTTGGTATAGACTGAAGTCAAGGCAAAAATAAAATCGCGAATTTCAGAAACCTTCAGACTTCTAAGGAATTTGTTTCTATATTTTAGTCGAATGATTAGTATGTCATTGATGTATTTCCTTTCAAACGATTACAAGTAACAAAAAATCATATCCAAGAGCTATGACAGCATTGTTATTTAGGTCATAAATATATGTTTACAAAGATTTTGATTGACAAAACAAAATCACGGTTTTAAATAATGTTGAAAACAATCCTTCATAAACACATATTGTTGCATACCTGGGGAATAATAGAGTTAGAAATGATGATAAAAACTCGACATGACAAAATATACCGCTGTATGAATTCATCGTATTTGCTTTAGCAAGAAAGTGGATGTCCGAATGTTGTCCTAAATATTACATAGACCTTTGGCAGCTGGCATACCAAATCAAATTAAATTTAAGATAGTTAGGCCCGATACTTACTAAACCACTTACGATTTTAGAAGATAATGACAATATCACTTACACTGGTGT